ACCACAAACCCATGTAGTTCCGCTTCATCAATAAACCATTTTTTTTTCCAGTCGGCTTCCGTGTTTCCAGGCTCTTTCTCTTAGCTTGGAACTGAACCAGATGGATATTGCTTCCCACATATGGAAAATATCTCTTTGCTCAGACAGGTAGATCTCAACCCACAATCACGTTTCGGCATCATTTCCATTGCTTAGCAAGGCACTTTCTGAGTTGCACCCCATTTTATGAGCCCGTTTCTGCCGCAATGGTTAACTGCAGTTGTTGGAAGGGACCTTGTAGGTCTTCTATTCCAACCCCCACTCAAATAGGAGACCCTATACCATTTCAGTTCTGCAGTTCGGCTGTTCAAATCTCACCGGCTCAAGGTTGACTCGGCCTTCCATCCTTCCGAGGTGGGTGAAATGAGGACCCAGACTGCGGGGGCGATATGCTGACTCTGTAAACTGCTTAGAGAGGGCTGAAAGCCCTATGAAGCGGTATATAAGTCTAACTGCTATTGCTATTGCTATTTACGATAGAAAATGTTTTTGATAATCTTGGCCAACATTGGTAGAAGATGTATTTCTTGGTTGGGTATTTTTCCTTTCACCCTCTCTAATAGAGATAACATTCCATAAATGTATTGTCGTTTATTCTTGAAAAAGCAGCTTTGGTATTGCTTCACCTCAATAAAAAGCAATCTGTTGAGAAGATGATACTGACAGCTTGCATTCTAAAATATCACAAGCTTCCGTGGTTTGGTCTAATATGTCAGCAATTGATGAAAAGCTATTAATAATACGAAAATAGGAATGTGCTACACTTTGAATTCAAACTGAAAGGTGCCTGGAGTTGTATATACTTACGTTGATCCTTTTTGTGCTCACACAGTAGCCATACAATCCCAGGAAAATCTGCTTGTGGGATAAGGAGATGCTAATAATCGTGCATACTCTGAAGCACCTCGCTGCTCCCTGTGGTGCTTACTTAATTCAAACACATGTTTTCCATAGATTGCACAGGTGGCTTGTGAGTTCAGAGAAAGATGCAACTTCTTTCAGGGGGTTGCTGATCCCTAAACCCATACCTCCTCTGAAATATATTTTTAAATTTGGATGCAGGGAACATCACGTCCTTATCTGAAAGCTAGCAAAAAAAAGAGGTCCCTTTTCAAGTAGAATGAATTTAAGCCATTGTTTTTCTCCAGCATTTTTCTGTTTTGTCTTTTCGATGGTCATTTTTGTCACCGATTACATTCTGTAGTTGTCCCAATTCATCACAACAGGCCTGGTTGTTGCTTAGTACACAGCTGTCAACCTCTTGGTGTCATGTTGCTATCATGTGACGTTTTGCGATGTTTTTCCCATTCACGGACCTGGGGTGGGTGTGGCCTGACACATCCGATCCACGGGCCGATAGTTTGACACCCGTGGCTTAGTAGAATAAAAAGTTCAAGTAAATTTGAAAGAATAACCTGTCTTCCCAAGAATTCTTTTACTATCTGTTTATTTTTTTATTTTTTTAAAGAAATGGTTCTAAAACTAGTCCTGTTTAACCTCTGTTTCTCTTAAGATATTTGAAGGAAATATGCATTACGACGCCCCTGAAGTTAGAAGATTTGATCCTGTTCCTGCACAGTTCGTCAGAGTTTACCCAGAAAGGTGGTCTCCGGCAGGGATCGGAATGCGATTAGAAGTTCTTGGATGTGACTGGACTGGTAAGAGCTCTGTTTCATGCTCTATGACTCCTTCCGCCATTTTGGTCCTGAGAATGTTTGCATAAAAGTTTCCATGTGAGAATCCAAACTGATG